CACCCTTCAGGCTGAGCCACCCCTCAGGAAGCCCTCTGCCCCCAGACTCAAGGCTCGCTCTGGACCCAGGACCCTCTGGTCCAAAGTCCACTCAGGCCCCAAATGCCCCAGCCCCTGGGCCAGTGTCTCCTCCAGGGTCCTCCCTAGGCTCTTCCCGTGAATCACTCAGGCTGGAATCTGATGAGCTCAGGCCTCCCCGCCCAGCACTGCCTGCCTCTGCCTCCTGCCTGGCTAGTGGGGTCACCACTCCCCTCATGGGGGTCTTCTCAGCAACCCACATCTCCCTCCAGGGTCCAGCATGGGCTGGGGTGGGTGAGTGGTGGTGGAGCAGGCCAGGGCTGCAGTGAGGTGACTCAGGAGAGAGCTTGGACTGCTTCTGTGTGCTCCAAAGTATAAAAGGTCTGTGTGTGTCTGTGTGTGTGTCTCTGTGTGTGTGTCTGTGTGTGTCTGTGTGTGTGTCTGTGTGTGTCTGTGTGTGTGTCTGTGTGTGTGTCTGTGTGTGTGTGTGTGTCTCTGTGAGTGTGTCTCTGTGTGTGTGTCTGTGTGTGTCTTTGTGAGTGTGTTTCTGTGTGTGTTTGCACTTCCAGTGCTTGGAGAGTGGGAAGGGGCAGCCGTGTGCTGCTGTGTCTTGGGAGAGTGTGCACCGTCGCGTCTGAGTGGGGGATGGAGTGTGCCAGTGGCAGTTCTGCACAGGTAGGTCTAGTGCATCATGGGGTCACCATGTGTCTCTGTGTCAGCCTGTCCCCATGTGTGTGTGTCTGGGAGTCACACTCTGAACCCAAGAACAAGGGCGCTGAAATAGTTCAGTGTTTGCAGATTCAGGGATGTCTGAGTGGGTGGCTGGTCTGTGTCAGGGTGTGTCTGGGAGGAGGGGCGCCAGTGTGTCCCTGTGCCCCATCCCGCAGGAGTGAATGGCTGACAGTGTCAGGGTGTGCCTGTTAACCCGGGGGTGCCCCAGGGTTGTTGCACATGCTCGTGGCTGGCAGAGTGTGCACACTGTGTGGGAATGTGGGTCAGACAGTGTCACTGTGTGTTAATTGTGGGTGTGAACATGGGTTGCAAGGCCATGGCAGGGTGCTAGATGCTCTGTGTTGAAGGTGTGGCAGGGTGGGGTGGGTCTCAATGACTGCCTTCTGCTGCACCCCTTTCAGGCCACCCAGTAGGCCCCTGGTTCCTGGATCACCATGGCCCACAGAACCAGGGACATGCAGCCCTTCCCTCACCCCCTATTCGCAGGGTCCCAGGGACCCACTGCCGTGCGCTTTCCTCCTAGCACCAGGCCAGCAGCACTGAGTCCCCTGGGTCCTCTGGATGGCCTTCTCAGCAGAGGGGACCCTGCACGTGGCCAGGAATGAGGTGCATTCTGCCCCCTGGTGGCAGCGATGAAGGATGCGCCGCCCTGCACTCCAGGAAAGCGGAGGGACGGTTTAGGCTGCGTCTTTTGGAATCAGTCATTCCACATAGACTCACAAGTGCCAATTCCGGCCCGGGCATTGTTCAAGGCCCTTGAGATTTAGCTAGGAACAAGGCGGGGTTGGCTCTGGCATTCTAGTGAGGGAGACAGACAATAAATTTGCATACAGAACCACCGTGACTTTAGGAGTGATGAGGGCAACGTTTCCAAGTAAGGAAATGACCTGGCTGCTCGTTAACAGATCCAAACGTCAGAGTTCCAGTCTTGCCCTGCAGAGTGGACGCTGGGCCAGGCATGTCACCTCTTGGAGCCTTGGTTTCCTTTTCCATAGGGACAAAGACTGGGGAAGGGCTGGCACAGAATCCCTAGGACACAGTGGACTTTCAGTTACTGTCCAGATCACACCATGTGAATGGAGAGATGTGACCTGTTTCCCTTTGGCTGGAGCTGGGGGCGCTTAGCACTTGGTCTATAACAGACACTTTTGTTGTTGTTGTTGTTGTTTGATTTTTTGTTAGAGTCTTGCTCTGTTGGCCAGGCTGGAGTGCAGTGGCATGATCTCGGCTTACTGCAACCTCCACCTCCCAGGTTCGAGCGATTTTCCTGTCTCAGCCTCCCAAGTAGCTGGGACTACAGGCACAAGCCACCCTGCCCAGCTAATTTCTGTATTTTTAGTAGAGATGGGGTTTCACCATGTTGGCCAGGCTGGTCTTGAACTCCTGACCTTAGGTGATCTGCCTACCTCGGCCTCCCAGAGTGCTAGGATTATAGGCCTGAGCCACCTCACCCAGCCTATAACGGACATTTGATAAATGTGCTGAGTGGACAAATAAATCAGCCCTTCTGCTTTGAAGGACTGCAGAACCTGGTGTCTGAACCCTTTGCCCTGTAACAAGGCACTTTCCCTGAGCAAGTCTGAGTTTTCTCATCTGTAAAATGGGGCTAGTGAGACTGGTCTTACACTGGCCTATCATTGTCTGCCTTGCCTGGAGGCTCTGCCCCAGGATCATGACCTTGCTGATGCTGCTGATTTGGCCTGGACCCCTGACCAATTAGTTTTTTTATTTTTTTATTTTTATTGTGTTTTTTATTTATTTTTTTTGAGAAGGACTCTTGCTCTGTTGCCCAGGGTAGAGTGCAATGGTGTGATCTCAGGTCACTGCAAGCTCCACCTCCCAGGTTCAAGCAATTCTCTTGCCTCAGCCTCCCCAGTAGCTGGGCTACAGGGTAGCTGGGACTACAGGTGCGTGCCACCACGCCTGGCTAATTTTTGTATTTTTAGTACAGACGGGTTTTCACCATGCTGGCCAGGCTGGTCTCGAACTCCTGACCTCAGATGATCCACCCGCCTCGGCCTCCCAAAGTGCTGGGATTACAGGAGTGACCCACCAGGCACAGCCCAGAGTTTCTTGAGAAGAAAAACCACAAGACCCAGGCAGCAGCAGCCCCCTGTGGTGCTCCATCACTGGCGAGGGCAGGGAGGGGGTCAGGTCATGCTGAGCCTGGCAAGGGTGGGAAGGGCTTGCAGAGGCCCCAGAGCCTCATTCCCAGGAGACCAGCTGTACATCCGGCCCCTGGGATCCTCTGAGCACCCTCTACAAACATTCCACGTCCTTCTGAGCACCCTCTACAAACATTCCACGTCCTTCCTCTGGGACTGACCTTGACACATCCTGTGTTTGATTCCCAGTACCCAGCCCTCCCTTATACTCCCCAGGTTTCTGCCTCACTGTCCCTCACTCCTAGTTATCAAACTCCAATCCGTGAACAATATTTATTGAGCGCCTATGGCATTTGTACACAGCATTGGACTGTGCGAGGCACTAGGGGTGACTGGTGAAACAGGGAGGGAGGACAGAAGAGCTAACGGGACACTTCCTGTCAGTGAGAAGCTTGGGAGGGCATGGAAGTGGGAAGAGAAGAGCTGCCGTTGGCCTAGTGACAAATTTGGGAGCCCTGCAACTGGGCTGTATCTGGACTGCTCATCTGAAAGCCAGTGACTGGCGGGGTGCGATAGCTCATGCCTGTAATCCCAGCACTTTGGGAGGCCAAGGTGGGTGGATCACCTAAGGTCAGGAGTTTGAGACCAGCCTGGCCAACATGGGGAAACCCCATCTCTACTAATAATACAAAAATTAGCCAGGTGTGGTGGTGCACATCTGTAGTCCCAGCTACTTGGGAGGCTGAGGCAGAAGCATCATTTGAACCGGGAGGCGGAGGTTGCTGTGAGCCGAGATCATACCACTGCACTCTAGCCAGAGCGACAGAGCAAAACTCCATCACAAACAAACAAACAAACAAACAAACCCAAAAAGCCAATGTCCACAATTTCTACCTCCCAGTTGTCATGTCTGACAATGTGGGCTGATGTCCCTCTGTGCTCAGTGCCTGAGGAGAGAACCCCTGGGGTCGTCCTCCACGGGGGGACAATTCCTTCCTTCCTGGGGATGGCCCACGAGAGGCTGGCCTTACCCAGACCCCAGAACCTAAGGGACCTGGGGGCCAGCAGCCTCGGTCCCTGCGCCGTCCCCAGGTTGCCTGACGCTGCCAGGGACCCCCTGTGCTGCTACAACCTTGGAGGCGCCCTCACCTCTGGGTACCGTGAGCATTGTGTGGCCAGCGTCCCTCTCGGCAGCTTCCCTGGCCATGCACGCCCCCTCGTGGTTGGTCATCGGCACTTTTCCTTGTTTGGATTTGCTACCTGCTCTGGGCTTCCTTGGGGGCTGCCCCAGCCTTTGTGGGTGACTTAGAATGGAGGGTGGAGTTGGAACCTGCTGCCCTGGTTTGCGTGGGGGAGCCTGTAAGAACTTGCTGTATGACATCCTGGGAGTCACTTTCCTGAACCTCAGTGGGCCCAACAAGCCACGGCCAGGTAAAGCTTTTGTGACGGCCAAGAGTTTAGTGCAGAGAGCATGGTTTCTGAGCCCCCTCTCCATTCTGGAAGCTTATCTGCCAGCTGGTGTATCTCCCCAGAGATGCTGGAGGGCCTGGGAGGACTCCAAATCTTGGGGAGAGACTGTAACTTGGGTACTTTCTCCCCAGGGCCTGATTTCCGGGGGAATAACCTCCTTGAACTAGGTGTCAGCAGGTGGGAGCCCTGTCTGGCAGAGAGTAGATTCCAGGAGAGAGTTAGCAGCCCAGCTCTCTCCCTCCCTTTCTGCCATGAGCTCTGCTTGTGCAAAATCACCCATTTTGATCACTGAAACACTTCTGGGAACCGAGCAGGGCAGCAATAGTGTCCCCACTTTACAGATGAGAGTACTGATGCTTGCAGGTGCAGGTCCTTCGGGTGTCCAGGACAGGGGTGGGCTCTGAGCCTTTGCTGCTGTTCCGTGGCCTTTCTAAATCCTCCTGACACCTAGGAGCCATTGGAACCTTTTAGGGTCTGGAAGTCTCAGCCTGGTGGGGGCTACTGGGGTGGAGCCCTGACTCAGTCACGCCCATGGGGGGAAGGGTAAAAGGAGCCGAGACCGTTACCCTCCCCATGTCAGAGGTTGGGCATCCATCAGATTCGCCCCCACTTGGCACACTCCCCATTGCAGGCTGGCTCACCCTCAGCTGGGTGAGAAGAACAAGAGGCAAGGGGCCTTGGGCACACAGTCTGGGGGTCCCCCGAGCCCCCTCATCTTTATTCCAGTTCCTCAGATGTGGCAGTTCCCTCAGCTTCCCTGGAGACAAGTATCAGACAAAGGTGGTGGCAGACACTGGACAGGGCCCTGGGTGGGGCTGCTGGCGCTAAAAGGACTTCTCAGCAGGCGCAAAGTCTCCCGCCCCAAACGACCCTTCTGGCCACTTCAAGCTACTCCTCTGCTGCCCGGCTTCCCTCTGCCTCTGGCTCCCCTGGCTGAGCAGGGCCTTCACGGGCTCGACCCTGGCCCCCTTCAGCAGTTGTGTCAGACTCTTCCCGAGTGTCCCTGGGGCTGGCTTTGACCCCAGCGTCCTCATCTCCCTGGCACCCTTGCTCCTCCCCTCTGCTCCTTGCCTCTGACTGCCCTCTGCCCTCCTCCTCTGTTGCAGCCTCCTGGGTCTCAGGCCACTCTGCCCGGCGGTAGACAAGGTAGCCAGTGGTGGGCAGCCTGCGGGCCAGGGCTCCAGGGGGCAGGCGGTGGTAGCCCTGGTCCTTGTACAGGAAGAGGCCAAAAGTGTTGGGCTGCGTCACTCGGAACTTGGTGGCACAGAGCTGGTTCAGGGTGGCGATCGAGGCCTCTGGGGGCACGGCCAGGGTCTTGGAGGTGCAGCCACTGCTGGGATCCTGATAGGCTACTCGGAGGAGGTGCTATGCAGGAGGAGAAGCAAAAACAAGTACTCAGCCCTGACTGGCATGCATCTGGCTCCAAAGCTGAGGTACCAGTGTGGGCTGTGCAGGGACAGGGTGGGGAGGTGGAAATCCAGTGGGAGAACCAAGTGGCAAATGCTCTGTGAGCTCCAGGGGTCGGCTTGTGGGCCACAGCTGAAGGTGCAGGACAGCCCAGTGGGGAGCTCACAAGCCTGAGATGAAGCTTTGATAGTGCACACTTTGTGCCCCAAGTACTCTCCTGCATTAACTCATTTAATCTTTACCTCAACCCCACAAGGTAGGTCCTATTACCCCATTGTACTGATGAGAAAACTGAGGCACAAAGTAGTTAAGTAACTTGCCCAAGTCCCCACAACCCAGTGGCAGAGCTGGGATTAGAACCCAGGATCTGGCTACAGAGTCTGGACTCTTCACCAAGGACAGGAAGGTGAAAGGCGGGGATGGTGTCTGGCTCTGAGGACACGGTGGAGGGCCTGTTACCTGGAAGCAGTGGGTGGCAGGCAGGCGGCGCTGCTCCCAGAGGCTGAGGGAGCGCCGTAGCTCCTGCGAGGGACTCAGTGGGAGGGTGTGGGCCTGACCCAGGCCACTCAGCAAGGCCAGGCTGGCAGACAGGCTGGTCAGGTAGTAGCCACCTGGGACACAGGGTGGAAGAACATGGCTCAGGCTGGGTGTGGGGCACCCATCCCTTCTCCCCTTCCCTGCTTATTCAGGGCCCACCCAGGCAGGGAAGTGGGTGGGGGTCCCTCACCCTCTCCGGTGAGCAGGCTGGGCTCCAGCAGCTCTGACATGTACTCGGCCTCCAGCAGCAGCTCAGGAAGGTCACAGTGGGCCAAGACGAGGCTCAGCAGAGGCAGGAACTCGTCAGCACCCGCGTCCTCCCCTGTGGGGACATGGTGAGAGGAAGAAGCTTCAGGTGCAGTCCTTGCTTTAGGCAGTGACCCCTCCCCATGGCCTAGCAACCATGGCAGGGCTTCGGAGAGAACGCACTGCTCTCTGGGCCTCAGTTTCGCAATCTGCAAGATGGGAGGGTGGGCTCATTCTCTCCCGCAGGGCCATTCCAGGGTCCTGGGGACCTGCCACTGGGGGTCCCACCTCCAACTCAGAGGGGCAGGGCAGGGTGAGGTGGTGGCAGAGACATACCCTCCTGGGTCCTCAGGGCCATGTAGAGCAGCTTGCAGGCCTGCAGGAGCCGCTTCACCTGGGCGCTGGGTGAGTAGGTGCGGAGCAGCTGCAGCAACTTCTGGCGCACCTGCTCCATCTCTACTGGGGAGGGCAGGCTCAGGTGGGACCCAAAAGCTCCGGGACCCTGGGCCCGGGCCAGGCGGAGGCCCTCAGCTAGGCGGCCCAGGGAGCCGTCTGCGGCAAGCCGGCGCCGCACGCGGGCTGCCAGGATGGGCCGGAGAGGCTTGAGCACAGAGCGATGCAATGACTTCTCCAGGACATGTTCTGCCAGAGGAGGGGCAGGGAGGGGTCAGGGGAAGACTGGGGAGATGGGGGACAGAGGCCAGGGGAGAAGGGAGCAGGGGTAGAATCGGAGAGGAGAGGCAAGGAAAGCAGGAGGAGGTAGCCTGGGTGAGACAGAAGAGTTTGGGGAGAGAGAGGATGGAACTCTCTCGAACAGTGGTAAGACAGGGTGGGTTTGTAAAGCAGCAGAACAGAATCAGACAGGCTGGCGCTGTGGAGGGGAGCAGAGGGTCGGATGGGGCAGTGCTGGAGCTATGGAGAGACGGAGCCTCACCCAGCCTTTTAGGCGGCAGCAGCTTCTCAGGGCCCAGCTCCACGCTCAGCATGGCCCGGGCCCGGCTCAGTGCCTGACGGATGCCCTGCAGCTCCTGGGGCTCAGGCCCGGCCCGCACCTGGGTCAGTAGGTCCTGCACCAGCTGGCCTGCGGCTGTGTGTCGGTCCTGCATCAGTGCCGCCGCGGCCCGGCCCACCTGCCGCTCCGGCGCCAGTAGGGAGCAGAAGGCGGCACTCATGGACCGAAGCAGAGGCCGGCGGCGGCCCAGGTGGGGTGAGGTCGCTGGGCTCCCCCGGGACCCTGGCGCCCCCTCCTCCTCGGAGCTGCTGGGGGAGCCGCAGTCCACCTCCTGGAGGGAGGGCATAGGCGGAAGGCTAGGGTCACCGCCTGCTGGCACGCGGTACCCCACTGAACTCTCCCTCCGCAGCAACTGGCAAGGGGGCAGCCGCTCTGTCTGGCTGGGGACTGCCCCTGGCAACACAGGGACGGGGGGAGGCGGCACAGCAGGTGGAGACAGGGGGCTGGAAGTCTCTGTGGACACGCGCACTTTGAAGCTTCTCTTGAATTTCTCCCGCTTGGTGGGCCCCAGGTCCCCCGGGAACAGGGGGTTGAAGAAGCACAAGGCGGCTCCGGTGCCCTGGTCCAGCTCTTGAGGGGACCGGGCCTTCAGCTGGGGCAACACTGGGCCTCCAGCCGGGCCCCGCTGAGCCTTGATGTTGAGGGAGGAGCTCCAGAACTCTAGGGAACAAGAAACCAACTGGGGCCTCCAGGATTGGTTAGGGGAAGTTTCCCAAGCAAGGAAAGGCATGGGCTTCGGGCCGTGTGCTGCGAGCCTTCCCCTCCCCTCAGCCTCAGCTTTTTCATCTGTGCAATGGGTGGCAAGGAGCTCTTACCAATGCCCAGATGGGAGATGGCCTCCAGCTCTTTGTGGGTGGCTGCACGGTGGATGGCTCTGGGGAGCTGCAGCGGGAGGAGAAGGATGTCCCTGAGGCCAGAGAGGGGAGCAGAAGGGAGTGAGGGCCGAAGGGGGTGGGGAGGATGGGCTGTCCCAAGGAGCAGGGCCCGTGGACACAGGGCACCCTGCAGGCAGACTCACCGGGTGTGGCAGTAGGCACAGATGAGCTGGACTAGGTCTGGGAACATGAGCTCCGAGCCCTCCAAGGAGACGCCTGAGAGAGGAGGGAAGTGAGGTGCTTCTCTAGGGAACCTCCCTCCTTCCAGCCCCTTCCTGCCAGGCCAGCCCCTCACCGCCAGGGCTCTCCAGGATGTAGTGGCTGGAGACGAAGGAGGGGCCGCTGGCTTCGGGCAGTCGCATGCACAGGGCCTGGCACTGTCGGGTGTTAGATTTCCGCACGAGGAACGTCTGCAAGTGGATAGGGCTCAGGCAGCTCAGGACCTTGGCATCCCACCCTTCTCCCTCCCACCCCTGGCTGGCCAGTCCCTGGAGGTTGGGGGCAAGACTCACCCCCGGGGGCTCGGTCCTCAGCACGTGCAGTGCCGCGGCTGCGTTGGCTTGCAGCTGCAGCCACACAGGCCGGGTGAGCAGCAGGCGCTCCCGCAGGCTCACAACGCGTCCCGGCCGCTGTGGCCCGCCTGCCTGCCCGCCGCTGGCATTGGGCACGTCATACAGTGGGTCCTGGGCTGGCCTGAGGGCGGGCATCCAGATCTGAGCAGGGAGCCAGGGGCTGGGACCCTTGCTCTCCTCTTCCCCGCTCCCAGGTTTCCCACCTTCTCCGTCCCCAGATAGACCCTCTTCTCGCAGCCCCTCCCTGCCCCACCTGGCTGCCCTGCCAACTTCACTAACTTTTCTGTCTCCAGGTGCCCAGGAGTGAAGCTGGATGGGCTGGGGGCTCCCGGAGGGCCCGTGCCTGACTCTCCAGGGCTTTCCATGGCTGGGAGCTCCTTCGGCTTCAGGAAGAGAATCCAACCCCAAGGCAAGGCACGCACATCCCCAGTGAGTAACACTTCCTGAGGGCGGTCCGCCTGTCACACCCGCCTGTTAACTCTTGTGTGTCCACCCCGCCTGGCCAGTGCCTGCCTCCTCTGTTCTGGACCCTGCTTCGGGGGTCAGGGATCCCCTCCGTGCTAGCCCTGCTCTGAGGGCCCCAGCTGGGGGGTGCCACCTCCACACAGGGCCTCCTGCAGCCTCACCAGCTCCTCAAATTGCACAGGTGGGCGGGAAGTGGTTAAACGGCCGACTCAGTCCCCGCAGGCCCCAGCCACACTCTGGGGGCACCTCTGGGTCTGTGGTCAGTTGCTCATCTGCCCCTGGCCTCAGGTCAGCCTTGTGGGAGAGCACCCTCTACTGTCCATAGATGACTCATTCCTGAACATGGGTTTTAGGATTTTAGGTTGCCATGGAGAAAATATGCCACGTCTCCATGGAAACCAACCTATTTGCTTAACTGAGGTTCTGGGGGTGGTTCTGACACTCAGCACTAACCAGGGGGAGTCTGGCTGTGAGGTCGTTAGCACATGGTGCTGCTGCCGGCTGCCTCCTACGCATGCAGGCTCTGCCAGCCTGCCTTGCCAATCTGCCAGGCAACTGGGACAGGTGCAGACATGACCCAGGCTTCAAGCACACGCACCCATCCTCCCCACCCGAGGCACTCCGCTGGCGCCATATGTTCTCTGCCCAGTGCCAGGCAGCCCAGCGCCCACCTCCCCCTCCCCAGTGTGGCCCCACGCACAGTGCTCCAGCCTCTGCTGGGCAGTGCAAGGAGTGGCAATCTGCAGGCACCTCAGAAGTCAGCCTGGTTCAGGTGCTCCCCACAGAAGCCCTGATTCTCTTGCAAGGTAAATCACACATACACGGGGCACACCAGAATCCCAGGAAAGGTTTTAATTCTAGTCCTTGAAATCTGAGAGGCAGACACCAAGAACTGCCCTGAGAAAACCTGGGGGGCCTGGCATCTTGCCTCCAGCCCCAGCCAGGGTGGACAGCCCCCCTAGATATCACGTCTGACTCAGAGTTCCTGCACAGTGGGGCCTGGCTCCCTGGCCCTGAGGCCGGAGAGCCTGCATCCAAGGTCAGCAAGAGGATGTGGCTTTGACTTCAGCTGTCTTCTCTGTCAGGGGAGCCCCAAGAGGCGGATCTTCAGGAGCGGGAGGTGGCAGGCGGCTCAGGGATGGAGAGAGCAGCCTTGCCTGGCCAGGTCGGCTCCACAGCCACAGCTGTGCAGGCCTCGAGGAGGGCAGAGGAGGAGTCCAGGCCAGTGCCAGCGGAGTGGGAGGGCCCAGCAGCACCACAGGAGCCTGGCTGGGCAGACCCTGAGGGGCCTGTGGGTCTGCCTGTCTGCAGCAGGAAGATGAGAATCCTGGGTGCGGTGCCAGCTGCTCTGCGGGTCCCCCTGGCTCTGAACAGCAGGGTCACGGTCCTGTGCGTATGTGGGAAGGAGAAAACTGTCACCAGTGAGGAAGCTGAAAGGAGGGGGGCAGCCACTTACTGAGCGGAGTGACTTTGGGCTGGCCCAGGACAGGCCTCCTGGGCAGCTCCACGGCCCTCCCTGACCCCTCCTGAGTGGGAGCTCCATCAACCCAGGCTTCCCCAGCCCCATCCTGGTTCCTGCTCCTCAAACTCCCACAAGCCCCTCAAATCTAGACCATCCTAACTTTCTTGGGCCACTGATTCTGACACAGCCACAGCCTCTCTCTGGGCTCCTTCCTGGAGGCTGAGCTGAGGGAAGGTGATGGCAAGGCGGGCAGGGGAGGCCGTACAACAGCCATAGTTCTTACCATCCGATTTTCTCTTCTGAGGGGACACAGCTGCCCTAGCCTGGGTGGATGAGAAGAAAAGCCCCCCTGAGAGCCCACCTACAGCCTGGCAATCCCTGCCCCACCTCCCACCTCTGTGGCGTGTGGGCTGCTGCCTTAGTGCTATGCCCCCAGGGCCAGGAACATAGGGCCCCCCAAGCCAGAGCTCCCATGCTCCTGACCGCTGGCCAGCTCAACGGCTCTCCCGCCTCCCTGCCCCCCTCCCCCCTCCCACCCCATCAAAACCTGCCCTGGAACAGGAAGGGGCTGACACAGACTAGAAATCCCTTCTCCCAGGGCCGCCTTGAGCAAGAGGACTTGTGAGCCAACTGCGATCCAGGGACCCTGGGCTGAAGATGGGGGAGCCTTGGTGAGCAGAGAACTCCCAGGCCTGCAGATGGCAGAGCTGCTGCCAGGGTGGGGGGCCCTGAGGTGGGGCAGGGCACATGGGCAGCAGCGGCCCCACCTTTTTGATGGCCGTCCAGTCCTCCAGGATGTCGATCTCTTGAAGCATGTACACGATGTATGGGCCTGTGGTGGGGGTCAAGGAAGCCCAGTGGAGGCGGCAGGTGACGAGGGCAGGGCCACCCACCTGACATTCAGGAGTGGGGGTACAGCAGACAGCATGAAGTGGGAGCTGAGGATCTGGGTCCGAGCTCAGGTTCTACCTCCTACCTCTTCTCCCCCCAGTTCCAGGGTCCTCCTGGAACCAAGTCCATGGAGGACACCAAGTGTTGTTCCCCATCCCTTGCTCACCCTCACCTCGTCTTGAGGTCAGCTGGCTGAGGCCCATCCCATCTCACCCTGCAGCACAGCCCTGACCTGGCCCCTTCCCCGATCCAAAGACAGACGCAGGGCTTCTCCCTTCAGAGACAACTCCCCTTCCCCACAGTGCTCCCTACCTGATGTCTCCATGCCTTCACCTCTCATTCGCTCAAGTCACGGCCTTCCAGATTCCTCCCTCCCTGCCTGGGCCTGCTCTCCAGCACCAGGTGGCCATAATGACTAAGGCTGGCTGCTGCAGGAATGCCCTCAGGGGCACAGGAGGACTCAGCTCTGCCAGGACAGATGAAAGCAAAGCAGGCCCTGGACTAAGCTTAAGCTAACCCTGCCTAGGGAGGGGCGGAGGCAGCTGGTGCCCTCTGGGATGTGGGCACCCCATGGTAGGGCACAGGAACACACAGGAGAGTGAAGCCATAGGCACTGGAGTAAGACCGGAGAGGCCTCACAGAGGAGGTAACGTTTGAGATGAGCCCTGGACAGTCAGGACAGGCAGGACTTCCAAGAGGAGGGTGGGATATGAGCAAAGGCTCCCCAGGGAGAGCTGGGGACCCGCTCAGACAACCCCAGGAGATGGAAAGTCCTCAAAGGCCAAACCTCACTCAGGCTCGAGCGCAGTGGCACATCATGGCTCGCTGCAGCCTTGATCTCTCAGGCTCAAGCAATTCTCTTGCCTCAGCCTTCAGAGTAGCTGGGACTATAGATGCACACCGCCACACCTGGCTAATTTTTGCTATTTTTTCTAGAGACGGGTTTCACCATGTTGCCCAAGGTGGTCTCGAAATGAACTCCTGGGCTCAAGCAATCTACCTGCCTTGGCCTCCCAAAGTGCTGGGACTATAGATGTGAGCCACTGAGCCTAGCCCGTTTCTGTTTTCCTAGGGTCCACATAGCCCAGAGAGACCCAAGACCCTGTAAGAAATTGCTGACAGCTGGATTTGCCTGGACATGGTCACATGACACCAAGCAACCACAAGTGCACCTAGTGCGACTGTCCTCCATGTCCCCTCCAAACCTCTCCCCCAGGTCTGGAGGTGACCCTAACATCCTGCCACCTTTTAGGCCACCTTGGGTGAAAGGATACCAGAAACCAGAGGTGCCTTCTTCCTCTTGCTGGGCGGCAGGGAGTCCCAAGACCTGGAGCTGCCTCTGGCGTGCAGTTTGTCGTCCCACCATTCTGCCCCCAGACCCAGAGTTAGAACTGGGGTGCTGGCCCACAGGACACTCTCTCTTCTGTAGCCTCTGCCCCCACCATGGGCCAGCCTGGCCTCATATCCCCTGCCCCATCACAACCCTGGGCTTGGGGTAGGAAGCCCCTTAGGGCTGTTCAGGTCCTGCCCGCACAGCTGCGCAACCCCGGGAAGAGGCCGCTGCACTTCTGTGAGCCTCATCTGTTTAGTGGACAGTGGGATGATGACAATTCCTGCCACCCCAGGACTCCACATGAACACAGGTACTATGAACGTGGAGGGGACTAGAGCTATTGCATGGGACTGCATGTCACACTGATACCTGTTTTGGAAAGAGCAGGGGCAGAAGAGGGCAGGGAGACCCACTCTGCCCGAGCCCCTACTGTGTGCCAGGCCCTTTCCAGGCCTGGTTTCCTTCAGTCCTCACACTGACCCCAAGAGGCAGGTCCTCTGACTGTCCCCTTGACTTCAGGACATCTGAAGTCTAGAAAGGGGTGGGCGTTGACAGAGCCAAGCCCAGGGCCGGGGTGCCCGGGCTCTCGCGCTCACCAGAGCTGAGGTCCAGGCTCTGGCGGTCCTCCTCCAGCCTCTGGATCCGCTCCTGCAGCTCCCCCTGCAGTGTGTCATAGAGCAGCAGCTTCTCACTCTGGAAGAGGGGGCAATAGCTCAGCAGGACGGATGGGGAGAGCTCACTTCAGGCCTTGCGCCCCGCCTTGTCCCCAGTGTGCCCAATCAGGCCCACCTCCAGGTGCTGTTTGGCTCCCTGCAGCTCACATTCGTACTTATTCCTGATCACATCCAGACAGAACCCCTTGTAGATCCCTGCAGAGAAAGGAAGGAGGGGCCCTGCTTGGCTGGGGAGCCTGGTGCCCACACAGGAGGGCTGAAAGCAAAGGGTGAGGCCAGGGAGGAACAAGAGAGGAAGGGGACAGGGTGCCATGGGTTCTGGGAGGGGAAAAAGGCACAGAACCACCCACAGACCTGCCACCTGAATGCGAATCTTGAGGCTCTGCTGCAGCCCCCCAAGGGGCTCCGTGTATTCAGGGGCTCTCTCAGCCCCCACTTCCTCCAGCCGCAACCGCAGCTGACTCAGTCGTTCCCTGAACAACCTGGGTGGTAAAAAAGGCAGCCGTGCACCCATTTGCTCACCTATTGCTCTTGGGCAAACACGTACCCAGCACCCATTCCACAGCAAGCCCTGTGTTAGGCGTGCACTTCCTGGGCACCAACCACGCCTGCCCAGTACCAGGCCCACCACCTCCTCATCCCAGCTCCTCGCAGACCCAGCCCAAGGTGTCCCCATGCTCACTTCTCCTTTAGCTCCGAGAACTGCTTTTCTAGGTCCAGCATCTCACTGACACACTCGCTGCGGCGCCGCTCATAGTCCTCATCGTCCATCTCTGGGACAAGAGGCCAGTAAGGGCTAGCTCTGGGGAGGGGTGGTGGGTACCCACATGTGTGCATGTGCGTCCTTCATGTGTGTGTGTGTGCATGCGTCCTTGTGTGAAGGGGCTGTGTGTTTGTATGCATGCTTGTGTGTAGGGGCTGTGTGTGTGTGTGCTTGTGTGTAGGGGCTGTGTGTGCGCACGTGCTTGTGTGTAGGGGCTGTGTGTGTGCATGCGTGCTCGTGTGTAGGGGCTGTGTGTGCATGTGTGCTCGTGTGTAGGGGCTGTGTGTGCATGTATGCTCGTGTGTAGGGGCTGTGTGTGTGTATGCGTGCTTGTGTGTAGGGGCTGTGTGTGTGTGCACGTGTGCTCGTGTGTAGGGGCTGTGTGTGTGCATGTGTGCTCGTGTGTAGGGGCTATGTGTGTGTGTGTGCATGCTCGTGTGAAGGGGCTGTGTGCGTGTGTGCTCGTGTGTAGAGGCTGTGTGTGTGTGTGGGTGCTCGTGTGTAGAGGCTGTGTGTGCGCATGCGTGCTTGTGTGAAGGGGCTGTGTGTGTGTGCGTGCTTGTGTGTAGAGGCTCTGTGTGTGTGCGTGCTTGTGTGTAGAGGCTCTGTATGTGTGCATGCTTGTGTGTAGAAGCTGTGTGTGTGCGTGCGTGCTTGTGTGTAGGGGCTGTGTGTGCATGTGCATGTGCTTGTGTGTAGGGGCTGTGTGTAGGTGCTTGTGTGAAGGGGCTGTGTGTGCATGTGCATGCTTGTGTGTAGAAGCTGTGTGTGTGTGCTTGTGGCAGAGGCTGTGTGTGAGTATGCTTGTGTCTAGGGGCTGTATGTGCATGTATGTGCATGCTTGTGCGTGGGGGCTGTGTGTGTGTGTGTGTTTGTGTAGGGGCTCACCGGAGCTCTCCTCTTCTGACTCTGTCTGGCTGCCGCTCCGCTCCTCCTCACTCTCTTCCTCCTCCCCATTCATCTCAGTGGCGGAATCACCCTCTGCTTCCATCTCTTCTGTGTCTTTGCTTGGAGGCTGGATGGGCATCCGGACTCTGGGAGAAGGAATGGAGCTGTCACTTATGGCTGCCCACAGCTCAGAGGGGGAAAGAGGCAGCAGGTAGCTGAACCCAACCTGATCCCAGATGGGGAAAGCCAGGGAAGTGACTGGCCTGGCCACACCTTGAGCACATACTGGGTGACAAGGGTGCAAATGGCCGTCTGCACCTCTCACAGAAGCCTGGGAGCTGTGGAAATGCTCCTGCTCTTGGATGTCACTGGTGATCCTAATCCTGGGAATACTGGCCAAGGCTGTGATCCACATAAAGGAAAGGCCCAGGGGGCACTCTCCACTGCCTATGGACTGGACCTAAATTTCTTTTTGAGATGGAGTCTCGCTCTGTTGACAGGCTGGAGTGCAGTGGCACGATCTCGGCTCATTGCAACCTCTGCCTCCCGGGTTGAAGCAATTCTCTTGCCTCAGCCTCCCGAGTAGCTGGGACTACAGGCACCCGCCACCACACCCGAACTGGACTTAAATTCCTAACTGGGGCTTTCAAGGTCTTTACCAGACTGGACTTGACCTACCCGGTCCAGCAACTTCATCCCACCATATAATGGCTAGTGCCTGCACTTCCACCTTCTGCCCTCTGCCTCAGCTGTTCCTTCTGCCTATAATGCCCTCGGCTTCTCTTCCAGATAACGCTACAATCTCCTTGTCTTTCACTGTGCTCTGGGTCAAATCCCATCTCCTTCTGCCTCCTCTTGGATCGCGGGTCGTCAGTGTTCCCCTCTCTTTTCTGTGTCTTCAGCTTCTCCCTCTTAGCAACCTCCTTCCCATGAAACTTTAGATGTGCCTGGGTATTTTCTAGCATTAACAAAACACAGAAACACAAAACTTCACCCATTCCACCTGACTGCTCCGTTTGCCACTTCACAGTTACGCTTTTCAAGGTCTCATGAACACTGGCTGTTCCTACTTTGACCTCCCAGTCGTTCAATGTCATCAATCTCAGCTGAAACTGATCCCGTAGCATTAACCAGTGACTTCCTTGTGGCTAATGCCAATATTTTTCAGTGCTTATTTTAATTGTCTGCTCGGCAACATTGAACACTGGTAAGCATTCCTTCTTTTACTGACTCATCTAACATGTATTGAACATCTAACATATACTGGGTACTGTCAGACGCTATGGTATGCAGGGGCCCCAAGTGTGACTGTCTTTGACCTCACCGAGTTTACAAGTTCCTGGGAGAGAGGGGCAAAGGAGCACACTATAACCATGATATGAGGAGAGTTAAGACCAGGGGCATGAGGGAGGAGTATATAACCAGGACCTGGAGCCCGATGCAGCAGGGAGGCTTCCAAAGATGGACCAGCTGGGTGAGCTGCACTTACTGAGGGAATATTCCAGGTAGAGTTAGTAGCAAAGACCCAGAAATAAGAGAAGGAAAGCAGCTGGGGGCACATGGGTCTAAGTCTCAGTGAGAAATCTGAGCTGCAGAGATTTGGTCGTCAGCATACAGCAAGTTCTTCATGCCACAGGAGACGGTGCGACTAGCAAGGGAGAATGTGTGCAATCAGAAGACGCCCATAATGGAACTCCCAGGGTTACCAAAGGGGCAGATGAGGAGACCCCTACAAAGGAGGAGGCAAAACCCGAAGTCGTGGAGAAAGAGAATTTCAGAAGAAAGCCAAGTACTGCCAAGTAGTAATTGTACTGATAGTGCCAAGTACTGCCAAGAGATCACCTAAGAGGATGAAAACAGTCCTCTCAGCAGATAATCTCTCAGCCCCCTGCAGGCTTCTATTTTATTGTGTTCTTTCAACTTCTCTGGACACTGCTTGTAGTCCTTTAGTACACTGCAGACGCCACTCCCTCCAGGAAGCTTTGTTTGTATCTATTTGCCTATTCTCATGTCTGTTCCCCCAATCAGTCTATGAGCCTCACTAGGGCAGGGGCTGCACACATACCTTATTTACCTAGCACAGTACTGGTTCACTTGATGACTGGAGGATTTGCAAATACAAATTTAACAACAACAAAAAAATTTTGTGAGGCAGACATTAGCTTTTACTTTTCGGTAGTCCCAGGTCCCTGTGATGGTAGCAAACTTTCCTTGACACCAGTTCAAGTTGTGTATAATAAGCCTGGCCTAGGTGAGCGTTTAGTCATATTCCTCAACAATTTCACTAATGATCTGCACCTGACTTGAAAAGCTCGGTTCTCTAAACCAGCTTCATCTTTCCCGTTATCAAGCCTCAGTTCCCAACACTTGCAATGCCTCTTCACTGTTAGTATATTCACTTTGTAAGACGCAGCTTAAATCTATCTCTTCCAGAAACCTTTCTCTCCTCCAGCTGGTTCTGATTATAAGTGAGTTAAGTCACAATCTTCCCATCTTACCCCGGGTGCAAAAAGCGGATAACCATTCCTGCTCTGAGTGTTGAGGAGCTCGCAGGTGGTAAGGGATGGAAAAGGACATTGTAAAGCGCGGTGGTATAAGGGATGGAAAAGCACATTGTAAAGCGCTGTACACAGGCAATTTAGCTTTTCAGAATGGCAGCTCCTCCGGGGCACGCCCCTAGGGAAGGCAGGCCCTCCTCATTCTCGCAGAGGTCAACCCAGCTTCTCCGCGGTGCCCAGGGGGCCTCCCGCTCGCTTCTAGATGTGCGGGAGCGGGCCGGAACATCGCTGGCTAGCCCGCAGCCCAGCACGCATCAGGCCAGTTAAATCTCTGCTTCGGCCTGGGAGGAGGAGATTGTGCCGGCCCTGCTCGACTAACCGGAGAGGCCGAACCAAAAGCCATGCATGGCGATACGCACCGCGGGGACTGGGGCCTCTGGCCTCAAGACCGATATTCCCTGAGAGGTGCCCGTGGTTGCCGGTACCGGCAGCAGCGCCGGTCTCCCGCAGGCGCTGCGCGGCTCCCTTTTCTCCGGGAGGCAGAGCCTATCGGTGCTTCCGTGTGCGTCATCAGGAGGCGACCGTCGGGGGTGCTCACAATTGGACAGTTTGGTCCCGAGGCATGCTGGGATACCGCGGGCCGGTCTCCATAGTAACTGGCCGACATTCGCGCAGGCTTTTGGCCTGCAGAAAAGGGCCTGCTATTTCAGTCCTTTGCAGACGGCGCCCTTCGTCCGCTGCCACCTCCCCATGGCGTGCAAGGGGAGAAGCCGGCCCCGAACCCCACCCCCAGCTCAGGAGAGTAACGGAGCCAGCTGTGGGTGTGAACACGCATTTATTTACACATTGTCATCGGTAGGCACATACCCAGCCCAGCCTGTTGAAGGGACAGATCTCAGGCTGTCACCCATGGAGCCTGCAGAGTCTTCCCTCCTCTAGAGCCCTTGAGGGCGAAGGCCTGAGAGAACCAAGAATTTTAGGCTTCTGTTCAAGAGCTAAGAACTAAAGTTTATGCCTTCATCTGATTTCTTTCCAAAAAGTCCATTTCATTAAGTACTCAGACTTCTTAGCTCCATCCCATTCATACTTTTTGCTCTCCTACTACCCACCCAAGATTGTTAATAATAACAATAATAATAACAATAATAATACTGCGATAATATTAATACTTCACATTTGTACGAAGCTTACAGAATGTTTTCACATACAACATCTCATCTGAGCCTCCCGACAGTTCCGTGAGGTAGGTATTCTCACCTCCCTTTTTACAGACAGGGTAACCGAGGCTCAGAGAGGTAACGGGATTTACTCAAGGCCACACAGCTAGTTAGTGGTAAAGCTAGGACTCGATCCCAGCACCCCATATTCAAGTCCAGTGTTTCAACACCACAGCTACCTCTGTAAAGTGGAGCGACATTTTTTACCCCAGTCAGGCCTAAACGGTGGCCTGAGGAGCCCAGAGGCTGACTTCTCAGACTAGGGTAGGGAAGGGCTCAGCAGCGTCGGGGAGAGTTGGGGTACTTGGCCTTCAACTCCTGTTTGAACTGGCGATAAAGGATCTTATTGTGCTGATTTTCGGCCTCCTTTTGGGGATGGAACTTCAACGCTTCTTTGAAGCCCTTATGAACCAAGAAACCTTCGTTCAGGACCTCAAAATCAAACCCCGCCACATGCAGCTCGCAGGCCTGTAGGAGGAAAGACAGGTCAGCAAAGTTTGATGACATTGACAGGGCTGAGACTGACTTCTCTAAAGCCACAGTCCAGCGCTCTCACCCCTCTGGAAGTATCCTGGATCTTCCACACCATCCACCCACCTCCCGAACGGTGATCCCTCCTGCTTCATTGCCTCCTCTCCATCCAGGGCCACTCCTCATAACTCCCTGATCCCCCTCCTGCCCCATTACCCCTGCCCTCTCCCTTATGAGCACCTGGCTGATTCTGTTGAAGCCGTACTGCCGAAAGCGCTCGTCGAAGGTGGGCACCTTGCCTCCTGCCACGTAGAATGGCTCCCAGGGGTCCTGCCAAGGTACCACGTAGGCAGGCCGCAGCAAGCTCTCTTCTGGCAGGTTGACCCAGCGGGAATAGTTGGTGGGTGCCTGGCAGGGTGTGCACAACCCATAATAGAAGGGTCGCACCTCGCCAACCTGGTAGAGCTGCACCAGCTCGTTTTTGTTCATGGGCATACGGCGGGCTCGTCGGATCTCGAAGGCAGGCACCACCAGCGCGGTGCCACCCCACTGGTTGCTCTGATCCAGCATTTCCCGCAGGCCTCTCCACAGCCCCTCGCTGGGCACCATGTCCACATCGATCACCAGGGCATAGTTGGCCCCCTCACGAGCCAGATTCCTCAGCAGATTATTGGGGTAGGAGACATTGGTGCCCAACGCATAATTAATCCCGGGCTGGGCCACCCTGGCTAGCTTGTCAAAGACCTCCTGGCAGGACCGCAGCAGGGCAAACTCCCCCGGCTCCCGGGGGTCGGGCACGGCTGCCTCGTAACGAGAGGGGCACACGAGGTGCATGGCGACCCTGGCGCGCATGTCGGGGCAGTGGCTGCTCAGCGCGTAGGCCAGCACCGTGGCCAGCTGCGCCTCCTCCTTGGTGGCCGCGAACACCGACACGGACAGTGGGCCCTCCCAGCGCTCCAGCAGACCCGACAGGTGCAGCAGGTTGTCCACGCTGGCGTGCGTGGCCAGGATCACATCGTTGGGTTCCATGGTGGTCTTCAGCAGGCCCCTGTAGACGCGGTAATCGCCGCTGGCGTCCAGTACGCCTCCGGAGGCCAGCGCGGTGCGAAGCTGCGTCTTGACCTGGTCCACGGACCGTGGGGACGGGGGAAAGAACTCAAAATATTGGTCTTGCTCCTCCTGTCCGTGCAGTCCGGACAGCAGCGACAGGTAGAGCAGCTGCAGCATCGCCACCAGCATGAGCGCGGCCAGCAGCAGCTGGTAGAAGGCGCACCTGATGGCGTAGGACATCTGCATGGCTGTCGGGGCTCGGGGCGCGCAGCAACGACCACCCGGCCACAGACTACACCAGCGGCCGCAAGCCCGGATTTACCGCAGCCTGCCGAGCGCAGCCGAGGCGAGCCGAGGCCAGCCGAGCCCCGCGCGCCGCGCCGCCCCGCCCGCCTCCCGCCTCCCGCCGCCGGCCGCCCGCCGCTGCCGCCCCCAGACCCCGGCGCGTCGGCTCGTCCCCTGCGAGGGAGGAGGAGCCACAGCCCCGCCGCCCGGCCGCGCGCCGTGCAGATGCCCCGCCCGCCCGGGCCCCGCCGGCTTCCCGGGACGCACTCCCCTCCCTCCCCGCCGGCGCGCGCACCCTGGACCAAGCGCGCCTTGAACTAGCAGCGCGCTGGGCTGGACTCGGAGAGAAACCGTGGCAGAGCTCGGCCGCAGCGTGGTGGATGGCGTGGGCTCAGCTGAAAGGAAGTCAAAACGCTCCCTTCCTTCCGCGGCTTCTTGTTTCCCCGTGTCGGAAGAGGTCTGCGCTCCGATGTAGGTGGTAGTGCCTGGAAGGTGCGGAGGAGATGAGAGATAAGTGAATGTGGAAAGATTGGTGTTACATAGGACGAGGTGGCCGAGTGGTTAAGGCGATGGACTGCTAATCCATTGTGCTTTGCACGCGTGGGTTCGAATCCCATCCTCGTCGGCCGTCTTTTATAGAGCGGCGTGAGAAAAGCATCTAAATTTTCACATCCTACCTGTTTGGAGCAGCAACCTGGAGAAAACTCAACTGGAGGTGCGAGGGGTAAGGAATCTTAATTTTCACATCCTGCCTGTTTGGAGCAGCAAGCTGAGGAAAACTGAACTGGGGGTGAGAGTGGAATTCGATCCCAAGTCTCTCTGGTCTTTATCCACCACGGATCTCCTGCCTGCTCTTACTCCAGGTATCTGTAGCTCTGGGCAGAGGCCAAAGGTCTGGGCAGAGGCCAAAGGTGTTTTCTTCTAGAAAGAGGAGGGCCCAGGGTTTGGTGGCACGGAAAAGACTAGAACCGGGATTCTGGCCAGTGTGAAGTTGGGGGCCAGTGTATGATCTGCAGGAATTAGGGAAGCCCGCATTGGAGGCATCGCCCTCCCCGTCCGAAGTAGTGGTACTTGTCCTACTCCCCAGCACTTCTCCCAGGGCGGAGACCTTGTGTCCATACGCCCCGCTCCCCACCACAACACACAATCTCTTTTTTTTTTTTTTTTTTGAGGCAGATTCTTGCTCTGTCGCCTAGGCTGGAGTGCAGTGGCGCAATCTCGGCTCACTGCAACCTCTGCCTTAAGCGATTCTCCTGCCTCAGCCTCCTGAGTACCAGCGCCTGCCGCACGCCCGGCTAATTTTTTGTATTTTTAGCAGAGACGGAGTTTCACCATGTTAGCCAGGATGGTCTCGATCTCCTGACCTTCTGATCCGCCTACCTTGGCCTCCCAAAGTGCTGGGATTACAGGTGTGAGCCACCGCGCCTGGCCACACACAAACTCTTAAGCAGAAGGCTTTGAACACTCCAATATCAGGCCACCACACTCTTAATAAGTATTTGTGGATTAATTCATCTATGGACTCTTTAGAACACGAGAAGCTGTGGGAAGGGCAGACACTGCCACTGCTAAATCAATTACCGTATATTACTCAACTTTTTAGGCTGATCCAGGGAGGCCCCTATAGGGCAGAGTGCTCTGAATCTTGAGATGTCAGGACAGACTGGGCAGGGCTTCAAATAAGGATAAAGTGTCTGTCCCGCTATTCCACAGGCAGTAGGGTGCCACGGTTGTGGAGTTGAAGAGTGATCAGAAAACCTTTATTTTGCAGCCTAGTGCAAAGACACACACTGAGTACCTGCTCCCTGCCAGGGACTGTGTTAGGCATGAAGGGATTGGCCTTGGAGGAGACACAGGTGTTGTCCTTGGGGGGTTTCCACTGGTGACCTTGGCTGTAAAGAGGAGAAAGGCAAGTGCAGATCCTTTCAGCACAGGCCTTGCAGACGGGAGGCTCAGAAGCCAGACATGCTACCATTTGGATTTTCTTTGACCTCCTCAGTGTTTTATATATTATTTTTTATTACCGTTATTTGAGACAGAGTTTTGCTCTTCTCGCCCAGGCTGGAGTGCAATGACGCAATCTTGGCTCACTGCAACCTCTGCCTCCTAGGTTCAAACGATTCTCCTGCTTCAGCCTCCTGAGTAGCCGGGATTACAGACGTGTGCCACCATGCCTGGCTAATTTTTTGTATTATTTTTTAGTAGAGACGGGGTTTCACCATGTTAGCCTGGCTGGTCTCGAACTCCTAACTTCAGGTGATCCACCCGCCTTGGCCTCCCAAAGTGCTGGGATTACAGGTGTGAGCCACTGCGCCCAGCCTTATTATTATTATTATTATTTTGAGATGGAGTTTCTCTCTTGTTGCCCAGGCTGGCGTGCAATGGCCCGATCTCAGCTCACTGCAACCTCTGCCTCCTGGGTTCAAGCAATTCTCCTGCCTCAGCCTCTAGAGTAACTGGGATAACAGGCATGCACCACTATACCCAGCTAATTTTGTATTTTTGGTAGACACGGGGTTTCTCCATGTTGGTAAGGCTGGCCTCGAATTCCTGACCTCAGGTGATCTGTTCGCCTCCCAAAGTGCTGGGATTACAGGCGTGAACCATCATGCCCATCCCCGCCCTATTATTATTTTTTAAGACAGAGTCTGGCTCTGTCACCCAGTCTAGAGTGCAGTGGCGCGATCTCAGCTCACTGTAGTGTCTGCCTCCTAGGTTCAAGTGATTCTCCTGCCTCAGCCTCCTGAGTAGCTGAGATTACAGGTAAGCACCACCATGCCCGGCTAATTTTTTGGTATTTTTAGTAGAGATGGGGTTTCACCATGTTGGCCAGGCTGGTCTCAAACTCCTGGCCTCAAGTGATCTGCCCCCCTTGGCTTCCCAAAGTGCTGGGATTACAGGCGTGACCCACTGCACCCTGCCCCAAACTGATATTTTAAAACATTAAGGAGGCTGGGCACAGTGGCTCACACCTGTAATCTCAGCATTTTGGGAGGCCAAGACGGGTGGATCATCCGAGGTCAGGAGTTTGAGACCAGCCTGGCCAACATGGTGAAACCCCATCTCTACTAAAAACACTAAAATTAGCTGGGCGTGGGTGCCTGTAATCACAGCTATTCTGGAGGCTGAGGCAGGAGAATCGCTTGAAACTGAGGAAGAGGTTGCAGTGAGCCAAGATAGCACCATTACACTCCAGCCTGGGTGACACAAAAGAGACTCTATCTCAAAAAAAAAAAAAAAAAAAAAAAATCGATTTGGGCTGGGCTCGGTGGCTCACGCCTGTAATCCCAACACTTTGGGAGGCCAAGGCAGGGGGATCACTTGAGGCCAAGAGTTCAAGACCAACCTGGTGAACATAGTGAGACCCACATCTCTATAAGAAAAGAAAAATGTTTGAATCATGTAGTAGTTAACTTTGGTGAATCGGATTTCACGTACAACCCATCTTTCTGCCTTTTATTTTATTTTTTTGAGATGGTGTCTCACTCTCTAGCCCAGGTTGGAGTGCAGTGGTGCAATCATGGCTCACCACAGCCTCAGCCTTACCGGGCTGGGACCTTTCCAAGTAGCTGGGACTACAGGTGTATGCCACCATGTGTGACTCATTATTTTATTTTATTCTATTTTTGAGACAGAGTCTCACTCCAGTGCCCAGACTGGAGTGCAGTGGCACATCATGGCTATTGCAGCCTCAACCTCCCGGGCTCAGGTGATTCTCCCACCTCAGCCTCCCGGGTTGTTGGGCCTACAGGTGTGTGCCACCACACCTGGCTACATTTTTGTATTTGTCTGTAGAGATGAGGTTTTGCTGTGTTGCCCAGGTTGGTCTCAAACTCCTGGGCTCAAGAGATCCACCCATCTTGGCCTCCCAAAGTGCTGGGATTATAGGCATGAGCCACTGAGCCAGGCCTATCTTTTATTTTTAAGTTCAGAAGATCTGGCAGTGGCTGGCCTGCATCCCCACAGGGTGACAATGGGCCACAGCACCAGAGTGGCCCCCACTTGGCAAACAGTCTTCTCTTTGCCAAACTCCCAGCCCTGCCCTTCCTTGTCTGCCTCTGCCTGTGGCCCTTTGAGCATTTGAGTTTCATCTGCAGTGCTCACACGATACCCATTTATTACCTCAAAGAAGACTTGCCTGCTCATCTGCCCCCAGTCCCCCACTACAGTGTTAGGCACACAGCAGGCGTCATCAATACATGTTTGTTGAATGAATAGATAAGATGCTTATGAAGTGTCCCCAGAGACCCTAGTCTAAGGGGACACTGTAAAATGGTGACTGGGGCTTGGTGAGGTGTCGAGATCAGGGAAAGCCACATGGAAGGCCCAGAAGGTGGCAGAAAGCTGCTACTGTGGGTAGAGGCACCTGGCTGGGAAGAGGGACTGTTTGTGACAGAGAGGGGAGTGGGAGTTTCAAAGACCAGTGTAGCCAGGTGTGGTGGCTCTTACCAGAGTGAGACCTTATCTCAAACAAACAAACAAAAAATGGCATTAATAACCAATAACGAGGGATCTGCTGATGCCCTTACTACAGGCCAGATGGCAGGGCATACCTGGACTCTCCCCAGGGAGACTTGTGTTAAGCGTTCTCCAGAGAAACAACCGTGTGTGTGTGTGTGTGTGTGTGTGTGTGTGTGTGTGTGTGTGTGTGACAGACAGAAAGAGAGAGAGCAGGAGAGAGTAAGTGATTGATTTTGAGGAATTGGCTCATGTGATTATGGGGACTGGCAAGTCCAAATTCCACAGGGCAGGCTGGAAACCTAGGGAGAATTGGATGTTGCAGCTCAAGTTAAAAGGCAGTCAAGCCAGGAGCGGTGGCTCACGCCTGTAATCCCAGTACTTTGGGAGGCCAGGGCGGGCGGATTGCTTGAGGTCAGGAGTTTGAGATCAACCTGGGCAACATGGTGAAACCCTGTCTCTACAAAAATACAAAAAAAATTAGCCGGGAATGGTGGTGCGTGCCCGGCTACTCGGGAAGCTGAGGTGGGAGGATAATTTGAGCCCAGGAAGTCGAGGCTGCAGTGAGCCGTGATTGCACCGCTGTACTCCAACCTGGGTGACAAAGTGAGACTCTGTCTCACTATAAAAGGCAGTCTAGAGGCAGAATTCCCTCTATCTGTTTCCCTTAAGGCCTTCAACTGATTAGATGAGACTCACCCACATTATGGAAAGTTGTGCTACTGTAATATAATAAATGGCCATGGCTGGGCATGGTGGCTCATGCCTGTAATCCCAGCACTTTGGGAGATTGAGGTGGGAGGATTGCTTGAGCCCAGGAGTTTGAGACCAACCTGGGCAACATGGTGAGTCCCCATTTCTACAAAAATTTTTAAAAATTAGCCAAGTATGTTGGTGTTCTCCAGTAGACCCAGCTACTCAGGAAGGTGAAGTGGGAGGATCACTTGAACCCAGGAATTCAAGGTTGCAGTGAGCTGTGATCGTGCCACTTCACGCCAGCCTGGACACAAGACAAGACCCTATCTCAAAAACCAACAAAAAAAGAAATATGTGTTTGGTCTCTCTCTCCAGTTCCTAATACAGAGTTCCTAAATCCCTTGAAATTTCCTGGGCGATAGGAGCATCTTTTGTTCCAGTGATGCAAGTCTTCCTGAACTCTTAAATAGCCTCAGGATGGGGTCTGGTTGCCAGATGAACCAACCATGTGATTAAAGAGTTGGAACTTTCAGTCCCACCCTCTGACCTCTGGGGAGGAGGAGACAGGCT